AGTAGTGTTCTACCAATGTCAGGCATGTGCAATAGTGTTCTGTCAATGTCAGGCATGCACAGTAGTGTTCTGTCAATATTACGCATGCGCAGTAGTGTTCTATCACTATAACGCATACGCAGTAGTGTTCTATCACTATAACGCCAATCATATGATTATTTTTTCAAACAGCGAAGGGGTTTATAATATTGTTTCAATTTTTTTAATTCTTTTGGTCTCAGTTTGCCAACCTGCATTTTCTAAAAAAAAGTTTCGTATATTCGCATAATTCAAGTTATTTGAATCAAATAAATATATAGATAAAAAAAATTATTTGAATGAGATAATTTTTTTAGCGTGCTAATCCTTTTACGTAATTAATTTATTTATTATAAATTTGGTATAAGGACTACATAAATAATTATTTGACGCAATTAAAGAGATATTGGTCTAAATTAAAATAATTAATTATGAAAAATAATTGCATATTTGATATAAATAAGGGAAATTCTACGTCAACACGGACAGAGCTGATAAAAATTCTTCGTAGATGTATAGTAAATCAACCAGTTGTCTTATAATGTATCATATAAAATAAACAATTAACCATTACAAAACTAGTAATGTAAAAACTTGAATAACTTGAACAAATTTTAATAGATTTTCATTCAACTTGGTAAAAAGAAGTTTAGGCTGCTGAAATAAGAAATAAGGTTGAAATAAGGTTGCTGAATAAGAATCTAAAATCGAATTTTTAAATTTCAAAATGGTGGATCCAATATGGCGGATGAACCTAAAAATAATATTTTTAAAAATTGATCAAATTTGCTTGAATCTGGCTACTAGGGGGTTTTTGAGATCGCTGAATACGAATTTAAAGTCAAATTTTTAATTTTCAAAATGGCGGATGAACCTAAAAATATTTTTCAAAATTGATCAAATTTAAAAAAAAAAAATTTTTTTTTCAAAGAGGACCTAATTTCCTTTTCTATGTAATTTTACATTTCCAAATTAATGAAATTGTGAAATAGAAGCAAATTTATTCAATTATTTTCTTTTAAAATGTAGTTCAAGTTGTGTTTACATTTACCCCGAGTTTTTGAATTCTCGGGGTAAATGTAAACACTTAATTATTTATTAACTAAATTGACGAAAATCAAAGTCAATTTTTGTTAGGGCATTAATAAGAAAGAATTACATATTTTTGTTTGATTTTTAAATTTATTTTTATGCAAATGCGAGACAAAATACTGAAACTGTAAAATTTTGATTTTCAATCTTTTTTGCATTAAAAAATAACTTACACTATGGCCTTGCCAATTGTCAAAATAAAATACTGTTTACATTTACCCCAAATGACCCTAATGTTTTATGTATTTTCTAAAGTAGTTTTTAGTACAGAAAAATTGTTCCAAATTTTTTGAATTTTTTTGGTCTAAGTTTGACGGCCTGCATTTTCTAAGAAAAAAATTACACGTTAATGCTTATCAGTAATTCTTATAGTGTAGCAAATGACCTTTAAAATAAGCTTAAGATCATTAAAAAGCGTTTATTATTTTAAAAGTTATTCAAATTTTTGTAAGACATTGAAAATGACGATTTTTTAAAAATATCTAAATAAAATATGGGCCAAATGACTTCTAAAAGATCTTGTTCTTTTCAAAATTTTATCATCTTTCAAAAAATAAAAAGCAAAATATTTGAGTTTCCATACATTTTATGTTTTAAAATGTTTTTCAATCACCTAAAAATGGATGGTCTCTCAATTTTGACATGTAGTGTAGATTCGTAATCAGCGACCCTAAAAACCACCGAGTAACAAGTTTTAATCGAATCTGATAAAATTTGAATTTTGTCCGCCATATTGGATCCGACATTTTAGATTTAAAAAAAAACTTTAGATTTATATTCGGGAATCTTAAAAAACTGTTAAAGAATGAGTTACAGAATAGTTTACCTCGTTTTTTGCTTTTAATTCATAAAAGTATTTTGAGATTTTTGGACCATTTGACTTTTGACAGCTCTATTGGCATCGGAAATGAAAATTTGCAAAAAAATGCCCATCGCCATCTTAAAGTACATGAATGTAGAAATTTTTTAAGCCCTAGAACGTTTAAATCTATCAAAGCAATTTTTGTTTAGAGCTCTGTCCGTGTTGACGTGCGGAATGTCCCATTAAATATTTAGTTACACTCGACTCTCGGATCTTTTGCATTCAGATCTTTTACACTCTCGATTCTTTTGCAATTTTTCTCCCGCACCTTTTACCTTTTACATTAAATAAATAAATGACTATCAGAGTGACAAAATATTTATTTCACGATAACTTAGGTTATCTAAAGTGAATTATAGCAGCTTCTCCATTATTAGAGTTGTGCAAAAAGCTCGATCGAGTATTTCAAGCTTTTCGTTTTTCTAGCAGAGCTGAGCAGAATCAATCCGAACTTGAACCAAATTCCATCCGACACGTGCAGTATTAAACCTAAAATAATTTTGAGCACTTGAATTTTTCGAGCACTCAAATATTTTTGAGTAACTAAAACTCGAGCCTGTCTCGAGTATCGAGCCCGGCTCGAGCTCGACCATGCTATTCGAGTTTTTGCACACCTCTATCCATTATGTGATTAAAATTACATTAAAAGTTTAATTACTATAAATGTAAATATTAAAACTAAAACATAAATACTGTCATTAATTTATATATTTGGTTATGTATATTGTATTGTTTTGCATTACCATTGCATTTGTTTTGGTAAAAGATATGAGAGGATTTGGTCCCATAAGTGCAAAAGATCCGAGAGTCGAGTGTATTTAAAAAAAATTATTTTATTGATGCAAATAAATATTTATTTGAATTAAAATCCATGCATTACTGAATCAAGTAATTTTCCTAATTGATTTAAAGCAATATTTATTAGATCCAATTATTCCATTAATTTGACTTAAATAATTCGAATTTGCTACAAATAACTATTTATTTGATACTACAAATTAAAATTTTTATATCAAGGACAGTTCCATACGAAAAGTAAATGGTGGATCACCGATTTTTCTTAAAGTTTGTAATTTTGTAGTATTTGGGGTGCTAAATAACTGTGCCAAACACTTTTGCAAAAAAAAAAAATTTTTGCAAGATATTTAGATTTGAAAAATCGGAAACTGAAAATAAATAAATAAATGTCAATTTTTTATAATATTAAAAAAAAATTAAGAAAAATTAAATTTTCTATAATTTGTTTAAACAATAATTTTCTATTGTTAAAAAAATATGCTAAGGACATCATGGAGTTTCCTAAAAAAATTATTTTCTCAAAATGTAAACCTTCCTTAATAAGTGGTTAAATTTTTAAAGAAGTGCTTTTTGATGTTTTTGAGAAAAAATTTTTTAAGTTTGCGCTACGAGTTTTTGTGCGTTGCGCTAACTAAGCAGCGCCTATATCAGTGTATTTTAAAAGATGATATAACCTTTACTGCTCGCCTCTAATACATTTATTAATTATATACGTATATATTATTATTATAAACAGTTTAACTATATATTTTTAACTTTTTTATAAACATTATTTTCCTTTTTTATTGTAAAAAATCTTTTCCTCCACACTTTATCCAGGCTTGTATTTCTAATTTTTTATTTTGATGGTCTTCAGTGAAAAAATAAAAAAAGAAAAGATTGGAAAAGATTTTTTACATTAACCCATTGATGCCTATAGGCAAAGAAATGCAGATATAATAAAAGTAACTATTGGAATCCTGGCATGGGATCTAATAATAATTTTTGTCGTTGAATGTTAAAAAAATGTTTTTTAACCATTTTTTTTATAAACAAATAAAGAAAAATCGATTTTTATAAAAAACTTATAGCTCTATTTGATTCTACGCTAAAAACCACTACGAAAACATATATTACATAATTTTTAGAAAAGACCTATTGGTGTAAAAATGTTATAAACAATTAGCCTGCATGCTTACTGTATGAGGTATAAGGATCGTTTTTAAAGTTAAAGATTTTGTCAACAAAATTATCTTAATCAAGAGAGTTTTTGACGTTAAAAATTTTTTAAACAAAATTTTTACCTTAAAAACTATTTATGTAAGTAGAAAAAAATAAGTAAAATATCTTCCGAGTGAGCGTTAGCGAGCGAGGAATATGACGCTAGTAGATATTTCTGTTACCTTTCGAACGCTGTATTTTATTTACAATTTCGTTTACCCGTTTACAATTTACGGGTGAAAAATAAAACCCATCTCACAACTGGGTAAAAAAATATTGACCAAATGACTTCTTTAAGGTCTTATTCTTTTTAAAATTTTACCATCTTTCAAAACATATACCGAAAAAAATTTAGTTATATATATATATATATATAAATAAATATATAGATGATTTGCACGTAACTGTGCAATTTCAATATAAGTTTTAAAAGAAAAAATTTTTTGTTTTTTTAATGTTAAATATCACTTTTCCTCATCATTAAGGCATAATATAGTTGTAATTTGAACGGTTTTACTACAGGTATAATTATAAAAAAATTATAACAAATTTTCGAAAATTGGCTGCCACGGAGCTGACCACTTTATGCATTGAATTATAATATTTAAATTCCTTATTATAACATTCTTTTCAACTGACTATGCATAGTTAATATTAAATTTGCTTCTCAAGATTAATAAATAAGTAGTAAAATAATATATTTAAATTTAATATTCCTTTATTAATTCGTCACCGACATTTGATTATAATGTTAAGTGTCACTCGACATTTAAATAGAATTCGACAATCTTTAACATTTTTTACAATTAAATTATTCTTCAAATTAATTTTTAATAAATATTAATTATTTCAACATTTAATAAATATTTAACATTTAATATACGTTATAAAACAGTTATTTAATTTTTAATATTTCGATGTAGAAAAGAAAATCCAAAATGAAAAATTTTATTTTCTGGTCAACCTGAAATAATTTAAAGTGTTTATTATTGAGATTATAAATAATTATAATATTTATAAAAATGTTGGTTCAAAATAAAAACCTTAAGCTTCTTCTTAAACCCGAAGTATTCGATTGATCTTTCATGTCTTTTGAGTTTTCATGTTCAGCTTGTAAACTTCTCTTGGTTTTCGATGAGATAACCTTAGATTTGTTTCCAGTGCTCTTGGAAACTTTTTCTTTTTTTCGTTTTATTGTCGAATTTGGGTTCTCGCTTTCATATTTTAATTGGCCTTCGGAAAAATGCTTACAAATTGTCCCTGGTGTGCAATTCAAACAACTTAATGAATTGAAATAAATCACTTCTCGTGTTTCTTCTGACCAAGTATACTGATGAATTTTTCTGGTACCTACAAACGTTTGAAGCTCTACATCCTTTAATATTTTATCAATCTCTTCGATCCTTCCTAAGGAGACAGATGAAACGTGAATTTTCTTAGCTTTTTTCGTAACAGCAGGTAAAAATGAATTTAAATCAGTAATATCTCGTCCGTACAATATTTCATCATCACAGATACGTTTCAATGCAGCCCCTATGCCATCGGCAGGTCCTTTGCCGTGCCCGGATTCACTAAAATTGTAAGTTATTCTTTTTATTTGCGAATAACACTTTGGAAGGAGTTGCGTGATAAGGTAAAACATTGTCCGATTTTTATACTGAGTTGTCGGGCCATCACTCATGAAGTGTAATGTTTTTACATTATCCAGTTGTGGCAAGTAAAAATCTACAATATTTTGAAGATGAGCCATCACAGCAGCAGCAGCATCGTGCCTCAACGATTCAGAAACTGTAGCAAATCCCGTGTCAAATCTTGTTGTCCAAATTTTTCCAGTGTGAATTGTTAATTGTTGTCTGTTAGCGCCAAAGTGTACAGATTGTACTTCTGTTCCGTATTTACAAGAATAGTTTTCGCTGAAATCTACTAAAATGAAGCACTCATTATCCTTTAAATTGTTTTTTAAATTTTCCGAGACGTTGTACTGATGGAGTATGTTAAATTCGTGCTTTAAAATCGACTGTAGTTCACTTTTAAATAAAATTAAAATTTCACTTATTTTGCAAGAAAACATTTCTTTCTTTGTCAATTGAACAACAATTGTTTTTTTAGTTTTTTCACTTTGGCGTTGTTCTTTTTTCGACACCCATTTGTAATATGTAATTGTTCTTCAGTGACAATATTTTCTAAATGATATGCCAACTCCTTATTTTTACAATCTTCACATTGTCTAGAAAGACACTTTTCAGAAACCTTTGACAAGTTAAACTTTTTACAACTTGATGAGTTGAATTTTCTTCCAAGATTTTTTTCCATGAAGAGTTTTAACCAGAAATAAAAAGTTCTCATGATTAACACAGGCAGTTGTGTCTCTTTCTGTTACTTTTGGTGCTATGCAGTAAATTGGACGATATCTAGAAAATGTGGTATAACTGATTGCAAATGAACTTTCTGCACAGAATTTTTTATGCAAGTCGACCATACTAGCCTTTAAATATCGTTTCTGGACTTTTTCGCCTTCCACAGTACAAAAATTTTTCTTACAGGGATCAATTGTACTATTCGTTTCATAAAAACTTTTTATGTGTAAAAGTATTATAAACTTATTTGTTGGGTTTTCCTCTTTTCTTTAATTCCTTGATCTTATCCCGCAAACTAACTTTAATGTCGCTTTCTCTTGAGAGCTGCCAATGCATTTTCCTTGCATATCCTTGCACATATTCTACAATTGAAATGTTTTATTACTTTATAATTTATTTTTAATATTTTAATTTCGATAAATCGCCCGCCTGAAGCTGGCTCGTTCATTCTAGCGTCGAGCGACTTATTGCATTGAAAGCGTTTATTGTACAATTATCATTTTTTAATTAGGGGAAGTGCGCCGGTTGTGGGCACCCTCCGGTTGTGGGCACCCCTACGTAAACTTCGACGGCAAGCAGACTTTACTGATCTAAGTATTGCAAGTCGTGTTCGTTGACAATACGGACTTTTCGTATTGATAACGAAACAAATATATGCATTTGTGTAATAGCTGTGAGCATAATAAAGAAAATTTGCATTAAATAAATAAAAAAGTAATTTTGTATTGTTTTCGAAGAGCAACATATGGGTGTAGATTCGTTCAGAAAAAAAGGGTTTAATTTTTTTTGCAGTGTTGTCATTATATTTTGTGATTTACCTTCGTGTTTAACCAAAATCCTGCATCACAAAATGTATTGGTCTTTTTAAAAAATGACTGTCATTCCCGGTTGTGGGCACCTTTATGTTAAGGAGGCTCTACCATCTGACAATGATGAGGACTACTGTCTCATCTATCTAAACTTTCTGCCAAGGAAAGTGACAGCCGCAAACTCCATTAAATGCGATGAATATAGTCGTTCAGTGCATTCGAAGTGCGTTATGTTATGCGTACTAGCTACTTCACATGCAAGCATTATGCTTTTGTTAGCGATGAGCATATAGTGTGAAAACGTGTCATCATTTTTGTTCTTTATCCCAGCAAATTCTCTTAAAATAAAGAAACTTTCATTTCTTCTTTATTTGTGTTGGTTTCCTTTAATATTTTTCCATTTTTAGCGGATTTTTCAAGGGTGCCCACAACCGGGTACAAAATTTTTTTTGTCAAAAAATTCCCATTTCACTAAATTTCTAATAAAACTTTTTTATTTAAAGGAATCAATTTAATTCCTTCACTGACAGTCACCTTAGACCTCTAGCTTTAAATTCGTACACATATATTTGTATAATATGCACATGGACAAATGTTATGAGGCAAAAACAAAAGGGTGCCCACAACCGGAACACTTCCCTTACTTTTAAATATTTAGAAAAAAGCAATGAAAATTATTAAAGCTTAAATTAATACATAAATTTCTAGTTCTTTCTGTTAAATTTAAAAATTTTAATTTCGTTATTTACTTAATAAATTTGCAATAGCATTTTCTGGTAAACGGTGTTGATTTCTACTATTTTCCTTTAACCCTTTTCCATCTAAAGTTGAACTTGCAAGATGAAGCTGAAGCTGGCACCCAGTTATCAGCACCCACTTATTTTTTCAAAATTTTATGTTGGCAATGAAACAAAAGAAAACCATAGCTGAGAAAAGCAAACGGCTCTAACAGAATGTATATTCTTCAAAGGTTATACATTAAAAACAATTGAATACAAATCAATAAAAAAAATTCTCAAAGGATTTTCATTTCTGCTGCAGAGAAAAATAATAAAATAAATACAGAAAAAGCATAATAATCACATATAATTTAAAAAAAATTAAAATTATTATTTATTAATATTTATATGATTTTTATTTTATTTGTATTCAGAAAAAATGTCATTACAATAAGTTAATAAAAATAATAATAGTAATAAATAACAATATATTATTGCCTATATTAAAAAAAAAAGTTTAAATATTAATTAAAAAAATATTAACAAGAAATAAAGCAAACCACAAATCGATAGTTATAAAAAGTCAAGGAAGAAAATGTGAATTTTTTTAAAATTAAAAGTTTGGGTTTTTCCAGAAAAAATCATTTTTTAAGACCCAATGGTCTTGTCCCGCGGTCTAATAAAATTTTTTAGGTATATACTAATCTGACAAAAGTATTTCAACAAAAATCGATAGTTAAAAATAGTCAAGGAAGAAATTGTGAATTTTTTCAAAATTAAAAAATTTGAGTTTTCCCGAAAAAATCATTTTTTAAGTCCCAATGATCTTGTCCCGCGGTCTAATAATTATTTTTAGTTTTATACTAATGTGACAAAAGTATTTCAACAAAAATCGATAGTTAAAAATAGTCAAGGAAAAAATTGTGAATTTTTTCAAACTTAAAAAAATGGGTTTTTCCAGAAAAAATCATTTTTTAAGGCCCAATGGTCTTGTCCCGCGGTCTAATAAAATTTTTTAGGTATATACTAATGTGACAAAAGTATTTCAACAAAAATCGATAGTTAAAAATAGTCAAGGAAGAAATTGTGAATTTTTTCAAAATTAAAAAATTGGTTTTTTCCAGAAAAAATCATTTTTTAAGGCCCAATAGTCTTGTTGCGGTTTAATAAAATTTTTAAGGTTTATACTAATCTAACAAAAGTATTTCAACAAAAATCGATAGTTAAAAATAGTCAAGGAAGAAATTGTGAATTTTTTCAAAATTAAAAAATTTGAGTTTTCCCGAAAAAATCATTTTTTAAGTCCCAATGATCTTGTCCCGCGGTCTAATAATTATTTTTAGTTTTATACTAATGTGACAAAAGTATTTCAACAAAAATCGATAGTTAAAAATAGTCAAGGAAAAAATTCTGAATTTTTTCAAACTTAAAAAATTGGGTTTTTCCAGAAAAAATCATTTTTTAAGGCCCATTGGTCTTGTCCCGCGGTCTATTAAAATTTTTAAGGTTTATACTAATCAGACAAAAGTATTTCAACAAAAATCGATAGTTAAAAATAGTCAAGGAAGAAGATGTGAATTTTTTTAAAATTAAAAGTTTGGGTTTTTCCAGAAAAAATCATTTTTTAAGACCCAATGGTCTTGTCCCGCGGTCTAATAAAATTTTTTAGGTATATACTAATCTGACAAAAGTATTTCAACAAAAATCGATAGTTAAAAATAGTCAAGGAAGAAATTGTGAATTTTTTCAAAATTAAAAAATTTGAGTTTTCCCGAAAAAATCATTTTTTAAGTCCCAATGATCTTGTCCCGCGGTCTAATAATTATTTTTAGTTTTATACTAATGTGACAAAAGTATTTCAACAAAAATCGATAGTTAAAAATAGTCAAGGAAAAAATTGTGAATTTTTTCAAACTTAAAAAATTGGGTTTTTCCAGAAAAAATCATTTTTTAAGGCCCAATGGTCTTGTCCCGCGGTCTAATAAAATTTTTTAGGTATATACTAATGTGACAAAAGTATTTCAACAAAAATCGATAGTTAAAAATAGTCAAGGAAGAAATTGTGAATTTTTTCAAAATTAAAAAATTGGTTTTTTCCAGAAAAAATCATTTTTTAAGGCCCAATAGTCTTGTTGCGGTTTAATAAAATTTTTAAGGTTTATACTAATCTAACAAAAGTATTTCAACAAAAATCGATAGTTAAAAATAGTCAAGGAAGAAATTGTGAATTTTTTCAAAATTAAAAAATTGGTTTTTTCCAGAAAAAATCATTTTTTAAGGCCCAATGGTCTTGTCCCGCGGTTTAATAAAATTTTTAAGGTTTATACTAATCTAACAAAAGTATTTCAACAAAAATCGATAGTTAAAAATACTCAAGGAAGAAATTGTGAATTTTTTCAAAATTAAAAAATTGGGTTTTTCCCGAAAAAATCATTTTTTAAGGCCCAATGATCCTGTGTTCCGCGGTCTAATAATTATTTTTAGTTTTATACTAATGTGACAAAAGTATTTCAACAAAAATCGATAGTTAAAAATAGTCAAGGAAAAAATTGTGAATTTTTTCAAACTTAAAAAATTGGTTTTTTCCAGAAAAAATAATTTTTTGAGGCCCAGTGGTCTTGTCCCGCGGTCTAATAAAATTTTTAAGGTTTATACTAATCTGACAAAAGTATTTCAACAAAAATCGATAGTTAAAAATAGTCAAGGAAGAAATTGTGAATTTTTTCAAAATTAAAAAATTGGGTTTTTCCCGAAAAAATCATTTTTTAAGGCCCAATGATCTTGTCCCGTGGTCTAATAATTATTTTTAGTTTTATACTAATCTGAAAAAAGTATTTCAACAAAAATCGATAGTTAAAAATAGTCAAGGAAGAAATTGTGAATTTTTTCAAAATTAAAAACTTGGGTTTTTCCCGAAAAAATCATTTTTTAAGGCCCAATGATCTTGTCCCGTGGTCTAATAATTATTTTTAGTTTTATACTAATCTGAAAAAAGTATTTCAACAAAAATCGATAGTTAAAAATAGTCAAGGAAGAAATTGTGAATTTTTTCAAAATTAAAAAAATTGGGTTTTTCCCGAAAAAATCATTTTTTAAGGCCCAATGATCCTGTGTTCCGCGGTCTAATAATTATTTTTAGTTTTATACTAATGTGACAAAAGTATTTCAACAAAAATCGATAGTTAAAAATAGTCAAGGAAAAAATTGTGAATTTTTTCAAACTTAAAAAATTGGTTTTTTCCAGAAAAAATAATTTTTTGAGGCCCAGTGGTCTTGTCCCGCGGTCTAATAAAATTTTTAAGGTTTATACTTATCTGACAAAAGTATTTCAACAAAAATCGATAGTTAAAAATAGTCAAGGAAGAAATTGTGAATTTTTTCAAAATTAAAAAATTGGGTTTTTCCCGAAAAAATCATTTTTTAAGGCCCAATGATCTTGTCCCGCGGTCTAATAATTATTTTAGTTTTATACTAATCTGAAAAAAGTATTTCAACAAAAATCGATAGTTAAAAATAGTCAAGGAAGAAATTGTGAATTTTTTCAAAATTAAAAAATTGGGTTTTTCCCGAAAAAATCATTTTTTAAGGCCCAATGATCCTGTGTTCCGCGGTCTAATAATTATTTTTAGTTTTATACTAATGTGACAAAAGTATTTCAACAAAAATCGATAGTTAAAAATAGTCAAGGAAAAAATTGTGAATTTTTTCAAACTTAAAAAATTGGTTTTTTCCAGAAAAAATAATTTTTTGAGGCCCAGTGGTCTTGTCCCGCGGTCTAATAATTATTTTTAGTTTTATACTAATCTGAAAAAAGTATTTCAACAAAAATCG